GAAGCACAGATCTTAAGTGCTCAGTTCAATGAATTTTAAAAGTTACAAACACTCAAAGCAAAATGTAAAATATTTTCCTCTCCTTTCCCTGGGCCTTTTGCACTATACTCATAAGTTCCTATTCCCTTTGTCAACATGTAAATTTAACAATTAAAAAGTATTTTTCAACCAATATAAAAATGAAACAAAATTTGTTTTCTTGAATTATTTTTGGTAGAATTCATTTTCAGAAAAGGGTTATATGAAACCTTCTTTTAACAGTTTTAAACTATTTTAAGAAAATAATTTCTCATAAGCAAAAAGACAGAAAAAAGTTAAAAGATTTCCGTTAACCTAGTAGAAATGATTACATTCCTCCAAACAATCCTGGTGTGGCGCTGTAGGATCAGCACTGGACTGCAACCACAAAAGGTCAGCCATTTAAACAAAAATGATGTGATAACTTAATAATAGTATATAACTCAATGAAACTCATGTGTTGCTGTTGTTTTTCTTATAAAATCATTCCAGTTAACTACACTCCTTGGAAACCCTATACAGGGTACCTGAGTCAGAATCGACTCAGTAGCACTTAGCAATAACAATGCCTTCTGCAGTCATAAAAATAGTTCATGGTAAAATAACACATGGCAATCTAACTTCTACACTACAAACAATCTAAGTTCTCTTTCAACTCTATTTGTAGTTCTTTTTAAAGTTAATTTATATAAATTATATAAAGTTAATTTATATATATATATAGCATAAAAATGTAAATTTTATATTGCAATTAGATATCAATTCATATTGATTATAAGAGGAAACTAAAAATAAAATGAACTCATTGTCTCATCACCTAGAAACAATCCATTTTATAGTACATAGTCAATTAAAGGAGTCCTGGTTTGGTTCTGTAGGATAAACACTGGACCTTAGTCCATTTAAACTGCAAGGTCAGCAGCTGAAACTCACAAGCTGCTCTTTGGAAACGCTATATAGGGCCACTATGAGTCGGAACCTACTCAATGGCATTTAACAACAACATTCAATTAAGTATTTATGATAATGAAAACTGATGTGAAAACTTCCTAATAGTATACAACTCAATGGCACTTATGTGTTGCTGTTGTTTTTCTTATAAAATCATTCCAGTTAACTACCCGGCAATATCGTAAAACATTATTTAATATAAACAATCTGATGGGCAATAGGGTTTAATCAGAATTATGAGGTCCAGGTCTATAATTCTCTAAAGACATACTTATAATTCAAGGATAATATTGAGAGTGCAAAAAGAATAAATGGACAGATTATCCTACTACAGGCTGTCCTTCCAAGAATACTGTTTTCCTTAATTGTAATTTGATGAATGTTAATGAGTCTCAAGAAGCAGAGTTGCAGGTTAAGCCTCTGATGGTTTCTAGAGTACAGATATTTTATGTCCCTAATTAAGGACTTATCTATACACCTAAAACTGTCAAATGAGCTGGGGATTCTTGGAGGAGTTACAGCACAGGAGGGCTTAGTGGACTGATAATGAGATATAGAATGTTAGTTCTTTGATTGCAAGGTCACTTGTAAGCTAAGATGATGGTGACTAAATGCCTTTATTGATCAATACTTTTCTAGAAGTGAAATGAACTACTTAGCTTAGTTCAGTTTTTATTATCATTTGATATCTTGTTGTTGTTTTTAAGTGTCGTTGAGTTGGTCATTTGACAAGTATTTGATAGTAATTATAGATCCAATCTGTTACCCTTCACCACTGGAGTTCTCTCCTGAACAAGAATAGCATGCCTTTACACACTGTTGTAGTTATTGTTAAGTTTCAAGTTGATCCCTACTTACAGCAGCGCTGTATAAGGTTTCCAAGGAGCGGCTGGTGGGTTTGAACCTCCAAACTTGTGGTTAGCAGTCCAGTACTCAGTCTACAGCACCCCACCAGTACTTTTTCTTACCCAGTACAGAAGGGAGGGGGCAGAATCATGTTTGCTTTTATTCTGGTTGTTTCTTAAACATTCAGGATAGTCTGTCCATCTACTTTTACTGACTATTGTTGTTGTTAAGTGCCATCAAGCCGGTTCTGGCCCATAGCAGCCCTGTATAAGGTTTCCGAGGAGCAGTTGAGGTGGATTTGAACTGTCGACCTTGTGGTTCAAATTGACCTTATGGTCCAGCGTGTTATCTTGCAGCCCTATAAGGGAATGGATTTTAAATCATACAATAAATAGAAACAGGATTTACTTGGATTTTGCTGAATTACTATTCTGCTTTCATACTAATCCATTTGTTTTTGTTGTTTCCACATGATGAAGTTATAATGTCTTTTCCTTAGTACTGAAAATAATGTTTGTCTTATGAAAATTAAACAGTTTCTTTACTCGATTTAATATTTCATTGCTGTTGGCATTGTCTGTGTTTGCACTTTTTTGCTCTTTTAATAATACAGCGTTTGTAGGATTGTTCTGTGACATATCAAACAGATGCCTTGAACATCACATCAAAGTCAACTGGGATTGCTGCTGATGGCCTGTGTGCTAATTTAACTAATGCCATACAATATACCTTCCAAGATGTCAACAATATACTTGTAAAACCAAATGGCAATAATTGAAGGTCAAAAATATAAGGGGCAAGTGGTTAGTAGTTTAGGGAAAAAATTAGGATTTTGTTTCAAGATCCTAGTGTCATGTATTCAGGATTAGGGACAAGTAGTACATATTTATAGCATTACATAACTAAAGAGGGACCAGGTTTCTATTTTCAAATTTTGGAAAACTTTCCATGGCTGAATATGTGGAAAGAGCCTAGTTCCTGGCACAGAGTTGACAGGAAATTTAGTTATACATGGGTCCAGCCTTCATATACCATATAGTAGATCATAAGCAAATGGATAGCCATTAATATTCATGTTTTCCTTGATATTCACAGCACCTTAATACCACATTGCTTTCCAGGACTAATAACCCACAAGCGCCTTCTCCAATGTGAGACCAGAATTTGAAGTGTTGGTACCTGGCTTCCACTACCAATCATCCTAACACAATAGAATGTCCCAGACAGACTGAGAGGAAACTATAGAACAAAACTTGAATTACTAAAAAAGGGCAGACTTTGTGGAAAATAAAAACTAAAAGAAACTCTGAGACTGTCTACCCTAAAATAAATTTAGGACTTGGATTTGAAGCTATTTCTGTATATTGCCTTTCAGTCAAATAATATATTGGTTTACAAAATAAACAATATAGCCCATGAGTGATGTGTTCCCTTAAACAATTAACTACATGAGACCAAACGGTCAATATTTACCCAAAAGGAAAGCTGAAAAGGAAAGGACAGGAAAGGAAGCTAGATGAGTGGAGACAGAATAAACAAAATGGAAATAATGAGACCGCTAACACATTGTAAAAATTGTAACCAACAGCATGGATCAATTTGTATTATACTTATTAAAGAGAAACGTAATTTGCTATGTAAGAGTTCATTTAAAACACAATAAGATGTTACAAAAAAAAAAAAAAAAGTGAGTTGCACAGATAGACAATTTGAGTAATTACTGAATGGATGAGTTAATTAATAAATAAACGAATGAATTAGTTGTTATAATTTAAGTAACATATATATGTTATTTAAGAGTCTTCCATAGAATTTCACAAAAGAGAGAAGTTCATTGAAATCTGTGAATAAGAGATTGACTAAGAAAATTAAATAAATCCCAGGAAGCATTTGCACCAAGAAATAACCAAAGAAAAGAGAGGGATCATATGCTTTTATAATATTGTAATAGTACAAAATAATTATTTAGTACTATTTACAACTTATTTACACATGGATTCCCTTTTTCTTCATCTACTTCTTAACCACTAGAAAACAATTATTGGAAAGTAAACAAAGTAAAAGTCTTCTTATTTATTTCATCAGTTAGTAATTCTGATAGATGCTTTGAGAAAAATATTATAAATTAGTTTTGGACTGTTATTGTATTATTAAGTGCTGTTGAGTCAGTTCCTACTCATAACAACCCTGTAAAGGGTTTCCAAGGAGGGGCTGGTGAGCTTAAACCATATA